GAGAAAGAGATGTTGTAGGCTGCCGACGAACACATTTCGGGCCTCGTACAAACAAGGTTGACTTTCGGTGTCCGACGAACACATTTCGATTAAATGTTGGGCTGCCCTCGTACAAACAAGGTTGACTACTGCGAGCCGAAAATTGTCCAACACGACGGTGTCCGACACAATTTGGCACGCAGTAGCCAACCTTCCTTTTCCGTGCCCCTAAGATTGCTGTGCGTGGGGAGCCGAAGTCCACGTCACCCTGCCCTGCAACAAACACTTTTCACCGTAGGTTGACAAAATTTTTGGACTTATTCTCTCATGTGTACGGAGCAGACGTGGGAGACCGTCGATTAAATGCTGGGCTGCCCTCGTACAAATAAGGTTGACTACTGCGGGCCACAAATTGTCCAACACGGCAGGGTCCGTCACATTTTGGCACGCAGTAGCCAACCTTCCTTTTCTGTGCCCCTAAGAWTGWTGTGTCCCATTCTATATAAGGCGATTTGGCGTGGGGARCCTCARTCCACGTCACCCTGCCCTGCAACAAACAAGTTTCACCACAGCTTGACAAAACACATTGTCGTGTCATGTTACCATTACAGAGTCAGCCGCACACACCACTSAATCGCACAAAGATGAGCATWACAAATGTTTGTACAATTGTGTATCAAAAATAACAGAAGTTGTGTAGTTATCAGACTGTATGGAGCATACGGCTCGCAATCCTAAGGTGGTGCACGTGCGTGCAAGCACTCGCTCTCTCTCTCTCTTCTGCAAAATTGAAGGTCTTCATATCTTTCTCTCTCTCTCTCTCTCTCTCTCTCTCTACCCTGCACCGACTGTGGCCTTCGATTTTGCATCTCCTGGTTCGAAACGTCTAAAAAAGGAACCTTTCGTTCCACCGTTTGGTCATTGCCCCGCATCCTCCCTTCCATGTCGAAATGTCGCCAAACTGTCCCTCGTTGTTCAGGGTGCGGCGCACAGACAGTTGGTGTGCCTGTCCCCGTCTCCGGTTGCTGTACTCTGAGGGAGAATGAACTCGATGTCGTAATCGTTATCCGTTATTGTGGTGCTTGGAGGCCCAGGCCTGTGGACAGACGGCGTGCCAGAGCGAAAGAGCGTTGCTGCCTTCTCAGCCACGGATACGGAACGGTCCAGTTTGAAGACGAAAAAACTCCTTACGGTGTCTCGGCTACGGAGAGATGAGACGATTGCTTGCTTTATAGATACCAATTTTTCTATCTGCTCCGCAACTCGTGTCGTCTTCGTTGTCTGTTCTATCTCACATTGAATGACCATCTTCGCAAAAGCCAGTTGCTGCAGGGTGACGCCCAGGTTCCGGCCTTCCTTCCTCATCTGAAAAACTTTTAAGAGTGCCGTCTTGAAGGCGGGGGCGCCCCACGGATCATCGCAGCTCCGTCTCCATGTCTTGTTCTCCTTCATCTCGGTGCGCATCTTGTTGCGAGCGGGGAGGTGGTGGTCCGTTTGCTGCGATTCGACGAGCGGAATCCCTTTTTCAGCCCAAAACCAATGTTTTAGTTGCCATGTAATCTCTCCGCGGATCGTCGTCATCATTCTGTTGCATTCCCCTATGAAAGCTCGAATCCCGCACTCTGCTATGTGAGACCGCAGCCCTTCCTCTGCTGTCTCCCCTGCCAGTTTCGTCGTCGCTTGCACCGCCGCGAAAAACTCGTCCTCTGTCGGGTACAGAGTTGCGTCGTTTGCCGCAGAGAACGCAAAGGCTTTGGCGACGGAACGCAACAGCTTGCCCTTCATTTTCTTCGCGAATGCGGCGCCCTCGTCCTTCGGTCCTTGCACGGCTCCGCCGCTTGCGCGCACTTTCGTTCGTGACGTTGCGATCGGTGGAAAACAGAAGACACAACGCACAGGAGAGTGTTAACAACGTAGCGCCTTGTTTTGAATACAACACTTGCAAAATTGAAGATTCGGCTATCAGCTGTGCGTTTACAAAGACACTTCTCCGAGCGTAAAGGCGTGCACCGCGTGGGGGCACGGGATTATGTGATCGGAGTGGGAGGGGAGTCAGTGCGACGTGGTGGTTTTTACCTTTTCCGGCGGTGCTGACGTGCTGTACGATTTGTCTGTCACCGACACGCTCCTCGGTGTCGCTGCCATTGCATGCCTGCCGTTCTCCTTCTCTACGCAGTGTCCTCGAAGGAAATGGCGAACCACCTCTTTCCGAAGCGGCACTCTGGTCTTCGCTGGTTCTCTCGCTGGCCGACTTGCCGTCGCTGTCGTCGTCCTCATCAGTGTCTTGCGATTGTCTGCGGTAAGAATCGTTGTCATCTCCCTCGTTTCCTGGCTCCTCGTCCTCCGCACTATCTGACTTCTCTGGCGCGGAACGGTCGTGTTCCTCCTCTTCTTCCACTTGGGGTCCGCTGTGCCTGTCGTCAGACCCTCTAATATCGATTGTCTCCACTGCTCTGTCGTCTTTGTAGGATATTCTCTTCTTTGTTTTGTGGTGCGTAGTCGCGCTTCTATCATCCCGCGATTTTTTTTCCGGGGACCTTGGCGGACGGTTCTCGGCGCCGCTTCCGCGCTTTCCCCGAACGGGGGTCGAGGGGGGCGACTCGTTACGTTCTTTCAGCGTTGAAATCTCCCGTGCACTCGAAGGGATTGTAACTTTTGGTCCGGATTTACGGCTGCGCTTATGTTCCGTTTTCGCAGAGGGGCCGGCGCCGCTTCTGCGATGCTCTTTCGACTGCTTCTTTTCGGCCCTCGATTTCTTCCGGCACTTGTCCTTCTTTCCCGCGGCTTTCAAAGACCTGCACAGATCCTCGTATTTTGGCCCTGGAGCCATCACCCTTTTTTTCCCACATGCATCAAAGTGGAATAAGAACCACAAGTGCGTCAATAATGTTGTTTATCACGCAGAGAGAGAGAGAGAGAGAGAGAGAGAGAGAGAGATTTGAAATTGCGAAGTCATGCAAGTGAGCAACCTCTTTGTGCGTCAGAGTGACTGCATTTGTATTGTCAGGTGGCAGGAGATCGCATAATCTGGGAACAAAAAAAAATTMTAGAAAAAAAACCATCGGAATAGTTGCCTCGTCCATCATTGCGATAAGGTTGGCTACTGCGGGCCAATCATGTCCGCACATCCCACATTTCATGTCATTTTGGCCCGCAGTAGTCAACTTTCCTCGCATCACGTTCGGTGACCTGGACAACATCTCATTCCATGGAAGTGTTGCTCTCTCTTCTGTTTATTATGCTTTGCAACGCTGTGGCTACTTGTGAAGCCGCTAAAGTGCCGTTGCCTTTTGTGACTGCAGCACAGGCAGCAAGCCGGTCCACCATCGACTCACGAAATTGTCGAACAGTTCTTTCGTTCACCGTTGTAGTTTTGATAACTTCCAGTACGTCCTTGGCCGTAAGATCCTTTGCCGCGGTTCTTCCAAGAAATTGTAATACGGTGGTAGCGATACAACACACATAAACACCACAGTCCGTGTGATTGTTCTATTGCGGGCATTTCGCATGCACAAGTTTACTTCCTGCCAGATCCCTGCATGTCACCCACGAAAAATGAACCTTTTCGGGTGTCAAAGCCTGCAAATTCGATGCCTCGTGAAGGTACTCGTGCCACAAAAGTGTTCGCAATGCCGTCCATTCGTCTCGGTTTTTTTCTCTCATTGAGTCAACGACGATAGCATGGGAGGGTCGGATATGCGGCTGTCCGCAGTGACCTCCAAGAAGGACCTCGCATTCAGCAACAGRAGAAGAATCCAGTGTTTGTTACGGTTCACTGGTATCACAGTGACCGGCGCGCGTCGCAGTTCGTTGCACAGCCGATGCAATTTCTGTGGTCTCTTCTTAATTGCGTCCTCCCATCCTTTTTTCGTCAATTTTCCAAATTTTTTATCGGCGACGACCTCGGGGTGCCAGAAAGTTGTGCAGACGTAAACATAAGACCTGTCCTGGCCCCGCCCAACCTCTTCATACACAGACTGCAAATAAATGTCAATAATATTGTCGTTCAGCCATCCGTCGTCCGACAACCGTTCAATGTCGGATTTTGATACGGGTATGGCGTGTTGCAGAGATTTCCATGTAAAAGGGAACAATTCAACCACGTCAGTGATGTCGGTCTGCTCATCTCTCGCTCTTGTCTTGTCCCCTGCTTTCCGTTTTCCCATACAACAGGAAGACTGTTCCCCACAGGACTGGGGCCACTCTGCTGCACCCTCAGTCAGTAAATCGTACATTTCCGCGCACCATGGGTCTGATAACATGTCCTGCCAGCTCTGTGCTGACCTTTGACTTCTCGATGGCAACAACGGTTTTCCCTCCCTGGCACCATTACCCGTTTCGGTACGCTGGTATGACCCCTTCGCAGCGGCCAACCAATTGCTACTGTTGTGCGACTCTGCCATCGTTGATCCCCTTCTCTTACCTGCACCCTGTTACTCTATGTTCTGTGTCGCTTCTCCCCTTTCGCCCCCTCCCCGCTTTGCGGCGTCGCAACTTTGTGTTCATAATCACACACTTAGGGAGAGGCAGAAGACATAGAGGATTAGTAATATTTTTTAGCAACGGCGAACGGTTTTTGTCGAGATGCTATAATTTTTTTTTTTTTATTTGTTTATTTTTCCTTTGCAGATAGGTGGGGACGAGAGAGTTCGTGCCAGAGAGAGAGAGAGAGAGAGAGAGAGAGAGAGAGAGAGAGAGAGAGAGAGGAAGAGAGAGAGGTTGGCTACTGCGTGCCAAAACTGAATCAAATGTCACTGTTGACGACGTGAATGTCACGCAGTAGTCAACTTTTGGGGACACTTTCGTTTCGCATGAGGTTTTGGTTCTCCTTCGTAGGTATGTCAGCGTTAGACATCATAGTTGTTTACAGCTACTAGAAAGATTTACTTCGGCCGAGAACGACATTACCATCTTGTCGCAAGAAGAAATAGACAGACTTACAAATTTTCTCGTAATTGAAATGAGTCTCTCTCTCTCTCTCTCTCCCTCTCTCTCTCTCTCTCTCTCTCTCTCTCTTTCTCTCTCTCTCTCTCAAACTTCAAATTTATTCCTTCTACAATATGTACTTGTTAAAAAAAAAACAGTCCTCACGGTAGCGCGCATGCATTTTCGATCCCCATTGTGGTTTACAGAAGCGCAGAACAATGTGAACGGTGTCCACGATAGTGTCGGTTGAAACGACGCTGCTGTGCTGATGTCAATTCGCCTTCTCCCATTTCAATTCCTTGCAACCTGTCACGTGTTCCCGTTCAGTGTCAACCTCTGTGTACCACTGCACAAAAGCGCACTTGTGTTCCACATTACCGCCGTCTGTGGGTGCATCGACGACGAAAAGCATGGCCACAGATGCCAACCACGTACATTCGTTGGCTGCTCTTATTGCGACGTCGCTGTGCACTGGTCTCCCGTGGACCCGCGGCGACGCCCGTGCAGTTTGAACAAGTGTGCCCCTGTTTGTTCCGTCCTGCGTGCAAGCGATGGCGAGATGTGTTCGTGTGTGCATAGCAAGATCATCAGGAGGAGGTTGACAACCATTCTCCGCCATGTACGTCGTAATCGCTGCTCGAAAATCGGTTATGAAAGGGAGCTCTTCAAGTATCTTACACGCATGACTGTCAATGCCTTCCACCTCGCATATCTGGTCCTGATCGATGTCGAACCACCGCAGTTGAAGGATTGACGTATCGCGTAGTGCCAGGGTGTTCATCCCCGTTGCCATACAGTCCGTCACAGAAGACCTATTCTCGACGGCCCTCTTCCTCCTTTTCCTCACAAATCCGGTCTCCTCCTGCAACGCCAACGACCGGCGCACGTGGTTGACCATYTGGGTTGACGCTTTCCTTTTGTTCGATGACATGTACGGTTGTTTGCAGAATCTCCTGTGGTGATGCTCCCAAACGTCTGCAGCGAATGTGTCGGCCACACCAGATCGCTCAATACTCGTTCTCATATGTATAAGATCATGCAACTTCGAGAGTTTCCAATTTGATGGTTAGTATGTTCCCAATTTCGCTTTGATGGTCGTTACGAAGTCCGTCATCAACGCTTCACATTCGTCGAGGGAAGCTCGAGTGTGTGCTGTGCGTCGAAATAACCGTACGTACATTTGCATCAGCTTAACAAAACAAGCGGTAATGCCCTTGCCTGTCGAGCGCGGGATTATATTAAAAATGAGGAACACGCACACTGTCATCACAAACCGGTTTTGCTTCGCCTCGAAGCGTCCCTCTCGAGAAAAAAAATCGCTGCCTGTGGCCACGGGCAGAACAAGTTGGGGATATGTTCGCGTACATCTCTCACTAACGCATTGCAATCTCGCATTGAGTTCCTTCAGGATCTCTGTTTGTGGTGTGTTCGGCAACTTCTCAAAGGCTGTCGTCCTGAATGCGTCGATCATGTGCAGGAATATGCCGTGTTCGATCGTGTGCATACGATCTGGTTGCAATGCGAGGTGGTAGTCTAGCTGAGGATCATCGCCACTCGGCCCCCTGTAGAACTCCCAAAGACCGTTCTGTTCAACATGCCTATGCATGTCCAACTCCGCCATTCGCCCTTCTGCCGCACGGCGCACGTCATCGTCGTCCGCCTTGAACACAGCTGCTGCGAGTTGAGTTTCCAGCATCTGGGATCTCCTGCTGTCCGTGAAATCGGCCACGACATTGAGGTCCGTTTTCGACACGGTGCATGTAGGGCATACACCAAACTTCACATTCGCCAGCGCACATCGCTTTGGGTAGTCCTGTATATAGTTGAGGAGGAAAGGGTGGACAGTCACGTCCCCGAATAGCGTCGATGGTATCGTGATGCCGTCGTGCGATGCCTCCTTCGCAGCTTGCAAGACCGTCGAAAGGGCCTTGTGGAAGATGACGGCCTTTCGCTTCCTGAATGCGGTGGACTGTAGACCCCATCCTTTGTCACGGGGTCGATGATGAAGCACGGGAAGATAGGCCAGCAGAGTGGCTTCCGACGCGTGGTCGGCTAGCGACATCATAAGAGGGTATGCCGTCTGTTTCTGATGACCGTCTGTGTATGTCTTGTCGGAGTACAGTGAGAGAGGGATTACATATCGTGAATATCCATTCTCGTCGACACCTTTGTGCGCTCGAATGATTGACTGCGTGTGATNGTCGACGGTATCGTGATGCCGTCGTGCGATGCCTCCTTCGCAGCTTGCAAGACCGTCGAAAGGGCCTTGTGGAAGATGACGGCCTTTCGCTTCCTGAATGCGGTGGACTGTAGACCCCATCCTTTGTCATGGGGTCGATGATGAAGCACAGGAAGATAGGCCAGAAGAGTGGCTTCCGACGCGTGGTCGGCTAGCGACATCATAAGAGGGTATGCCGTCTGTTTCTGACGACCGTATGTGTGTGTCTTGTCGGAGTACAGTGAGAGAGGGATTAGATATCGTGAATATCCATTCTCGTCGACACCTTTGTGCGCTCGAATGATTGACTGCGTGTGATAACTGAGTGCCCCGCTGCGCGGACCGGATACACTGTTGTCCTCCGACGGCGGGGACACCTCGAGGGAATGAACCGTCTCGCATTTCTGCAACGGGACGTGCATTATCGATAAGAATGCAGTTCGCCAATCGCGGTGCCACAAGACGGCGTGCGCTTCTCGAGGCCTGTCGTCACTACGCAGATCCAACTCCTTCCACCCAGCGGCCTCTGCTAGACTGCCCGCCCATGCGAAGCACTCTCGACTGTTGCGGTACGCAATGTTCGTCGCGCTGAATCTCGGGTCTTTGAGAAGTGACAAGAGAGTATTAACGTCCGTATGTGACATACCGACGCCGCCCCTGGCGGAGAAAATAAGCGCTGGTAGCCTGCGCGAGCTGTCAAAAGGCTCGACGGGTTGCGCTGCCGGCTCTGCGTTATCACCGGCTGCTCCATTCGCGTCGTCCTCCGCCCCCGCGTCCTCGCTCTCATCACCAGCGAGATTGGCTGCGCCTATGTTGGATGGTCCCGGGTCGTGGGCAGCATCATTCTCCTGCCTTTGCGCTCCCTCATCCGCCACGGCGAGGCATGCCCTCGCACGATGCGAGCTTAAAGTCCGTAAGGACATGAAAGGTCTGCCGCAGTCACACACCCGTGGACCGCTGTCCATTTCATGTGCACGCAGTGCATTCCAAAGACAAACAGAGCGAAGCGGACAGTGCTTCGTTAGCATTTTAGACATATGGTCGGGGCATGTGCACTATATAATGCTGACCATGTTTTCTTATGCAGTGTGAGTGTTGCACGTTGTGGAAAATGCGTCTAAGCATGTGTTTTCCACGTATCCGTCGTAATCAGTGAGATTGTCCATACGAGCCAACCTCTGACTCACTTTCCCGGACGTGTACACTACCTTCAAGATAGAGACTTGAGATCGGGCGAGCAGAAAAAAAAAAAAAA